GAGAGAGAGAGAGAGAGAGAGAGAGAGAGAGAGAGAGAGAGAGAGAGAGAGAGAGAGAGAGAGAGTGGCAGAGGAAGAGGGAGAGAAGGCGAGCGCCTCCTTCCTTCCTGGTACCTGGTTGGGTAGCTAGGGCGCTGCAGTAGGCGGGCGCTGGGCCGCGGGCTGGGCCGGTGGCTGGCGCTGCTCCAACTGCTGCGCTAAGTCCTCCCGCTGTGCTCGATCTCTCCTCGCTGCTCGTACTAACGCTGCTGCGCCACGCTAATCCTGCTAATGCTGAAGTGCTGCGCTAATCCTGAAGACAACCTCCTGTCTACTAACCTACCGACTGAGGCTGGTACCCAGCTGATATAGTGCTGGCTCGGCCTCAGTCCTACTAAGGGCCTTCGGGTCTGGACCGTTGATCAGGCCCAACGGTCAGATCTGATTTCGGAATCTGAAAAGTGGGCGCCAAAACTGCGCCGCCGGCTGGGCCTACCGATGGACCGGTACCTGGCCTAAACAACTAGCCGTTGGGTCTGGTGGGGTCTAAACGAGGCATACCGGACCCTAAACTGAACCGACGGTTCCTAGGCCTACCTGGACCTAGCTGGGACCGTCGTGACCACCACCTAGGCCTAAACTGTGCCTATTACAGAACGGGGCCCTAACTGGGGCCCGTGTGGTATCAGCATGCCACAAAAACCATTATTGAGAAGTGAGGAGGAAGTGGTAGAGTAGCGGATATAATCAGCAAATGATAAGACAGTGGTTTGTATGAAGTCACATGACAAATGCATAAGTGCAGAAGAACAACATTTTGAGGAACTCGGACTAAAGTGAGAGCCGTGACTGCGAACCGTTTTGTTACATGTACCTACTTCATCTGAGGTTTTGGGTTTGTCGTTGTGTCCTACAGGAAACATTCGTGTGTACTGTCGTGTTCGGCCACTTCTTGGCAATGAGGTGGGAAGGAACACAACAATTGAGTACTGTGGCGAAAATGGCGACATCATGGTTGTTCATCCTGGGAAATCAAACAGCCGGCGGACATTTACCTTCGACAAGGTTTTTGGAATGCAGACAACACAAGGTAAGGATGGATGAGCTGTGGTTGCAAACCATGTTTGTAAAACTTTGTATGATACGTTGCCTAAGCTCTGGGTAGTTTTCCATCGATTAGCAGCCACAGGCTCGTCTCAAAAGAGCCACATGTCAGTCTACACTAAAAAGTTCAATGGCTGAACAAGGTTTTCAAACATGCCTTAATGTGGTTAGTTATCGAATGAAAAGTAGTCAGAATAGCCTCTTAAAAGAGCTATGTTCAATGCTCCAGGCGTCAATGGTTCTTAGGTTCTGCTAAAAATGAGGCAGTCGTCTCTGAGAAACACTGAAAGGGGATTTTGCGGGTCTGAGAACAGGCGCCAGCTCTTCTATCTAGCCCGTAGCCCCAGACTCCAGTTGGTTACACAGGTTGGGACCAGCACTCAGCCTCAGTAGGCCCCAGACACTGCCTACTGGGGCTGGACGCTGACTCCAGAACACGAGAAAAGTACGTAGGCCACAATGGGAAGGAACGTTTGGGCAGGCAGCACTTGCGCCAGCACTGCTGCACCTTTGGTTGGAGAGCAGCTCCTGAGGACGAAGAAGCTGCTGCAGTGGCTGTAGGTTCCCGCCAGCCATAGCTGGCGAACGCTAGCAGGGAAGCAGGGTGGCGGCGTGTGGAAGTAGTCAGGAAGAGTGGGAGGCACCCAGAGGAAGCCTGTGTGAGAAGAGTCCTCAAGAAGAATACGGCGAGTGACACGTGGACAGAGTGAGGTGTAGCAGGCTAGGATGCAGAGGTAGTAGGAAGTAGAGTAGGGCGGTCACATCACAGCAGGGCTGCTACATTGTTGTTGTATTGATGACTGGAGGCGAGGAGTTAGGCTTTCTTTACAAGAGACCTAAGTGTTTTGTTTGTTCCTAGTTGGCGGTCACATCACAGCAGAGCTGCTACATTGTTGTTGTATTGATGACTGGAGGCGAGGAGTTAGGCTTTCTTTACAAGAGACCTTAGTGTTTTGTTTGTTCCTAGTTGGTGTGCACTGTGCATGCAGCTTTGGTATTCTGCTCTCAACTAGGCTCAATCATGCTTGGTCTTCTCTGAGATTTTGCATGCTGGAAAATTGGCGTTCCCATTACCTGGTTCCTTGCATGAGTGTCAGTTAAACCACCACCAGCTTTCAGTGGCAATTTATAAAGCATTCTTCGGAGGCCGGGCGCCACGGGACCACAATGGCTGGCGGTGCAGTTCTACTCCGCCTCGGCAAAATGAGGCTCGGAGGTAGTGGTGGTTTGTTTTGGAAAAAAAAAGAAAAAACGTTTCTATGCTAGTCTAATATAGTCTAAGACGTTCAAAACTTGCCTGGTGACTTAGTTCAAAGTCACAATCGCATTTTTATTTGGAGTTATTTGAAATGGGAAAAACTGGTGGTAATTGATGGCATCTGGTAGGGCGCGAGTTTGGTGTAGGACATGACAATGGAAACAAAAGACCCCTCTGGGTTGGGTTGCACAAAGAAATTGCCAAACGTAATTGGCTTCGTCAGACAGATTTCCTTCACATCACCATCAGGGTCCTCTACACATCTACACTGATGGCCAGACTACATAGGTAGCCGTCCATTGCTATGCATATTGGTCATCTACGGCTGGGGTACAGATTTCCATCGCTTCGCCCTCAGGGTCTTGTACACATCTACAGATTCGACACTGATGGTCATGCTGCATAAGCAGCAGTCTATTGCTTTGGATATTGGTCATCTACGGCCGGATTACATAAGTTTTCTCTTATTGGCTCCGATGATCAGATTATAGTATCATTATACCACTGGAGGTGTTTCTCCTGCCCCTTTCCCCCCTCTTTTTTTTTTAACATTGAAAAATTCACAAGGATGGGGAGCTCACAATTCTACCCGGGAAGAGTTACTGGGACCATTACCCATGTTTCAGTTGACAGGAAACCGGACCCAGCGACCCTTTTGAAATTCGAACCAACCGTAGCACTCAAACTCGGTCACACAAGTGACTTCATTCAAAGGGAGACGAGTACCAACGGACCAAACACTTCCTTGTCAGTTCCTGTTCCTGACCTGACCTGCACAACCTTAGGTGTTCAACGTTGTCACCACATTTCCCTCTGTCAATACACTGCCGTGGTTATGGCCCTTAGGACGGAGTAACCCCGTCTCTACCCTTGTTCTGTCAGAGTCCAAAACGCTACGACCTTGACCGTTGTCCTTCAGTCCTGACAATCTAACTCATTCCAGTCATATGGCTGGATGTAACAAAAGGGCAACAAGGACGAAAAGACAAAATGCTTCCTGGCCTGAACTGCTTTAAAAGTAATTGTTTGTCCTTGGCACGACTGCCAACCCCCTTCCATTCGTTGTAGCTGGCAAGACCTGAGTGGGCAAACAATGATCGCTTTCCCTGAGCAAGGATTAAGCACCAGTGCATGGGCACCTGGGCCGCGGGCCTGACACCTCGAATTCTGGAAGCGCGAAACGAAAACGTGACCGCTGATCCAATTTATCAACGGCAGGCCCAGCGTTTGATGTTTCGGCCTCGTTTTCTTGTGGCGACAAGTTCCGGACTGCAAGGCTGGGACCGCGTACCAGTGCTTTAACCCCTGCTCCACCTTTTTTTTCCCTTTTCAAGGCCCTTGTGCAAGGCCTCTATCCCAGTGGTGGTAAGAGAACCACCGGGATTGAGGCTTTGTCAGCAGGCCGCTCCATCTATTGGTGGGGAGCATCATCACCTGCTGGAAACCGGGTCCAGCGTCCCTTTTAAGAAAACCATGAGGCGAGTTGCGAGAGAACACAGGTGCTGGAAACCGGGTCCAGCGTCACATCACTGTCTGTCCTGTATTCCTAGAACTGAGGCCCAGGACTGGGGCCCAACCAGGGCCTCTGGGGGATACCAGTGGTTCCTGTCTGCTCCCCGCCCCGCCTTCCAACAGGCTCTACCTATGCTGAATGCACTAGTTACACCACCTGTTGGTTGGTCTACCTATGCTGAGACCCCGGCCTGAAGATAACTCTCCAACATAATAGAAATAGTGATAAACACGTAGGACAAAAAGGGCCACCTCTTCAGTCTGCACCAGACCGCCAGATCACTAGTATCACCCTAGCGGCTACTTCCTGTTTCCTCTGGGTACCAGCCTGCTTTGTATCTGCCCTGTATCACTCATTCAGTCTGCTCCATACCATTGCATATCCACCATTGCCAGTTGGTGGGGCGGGAAGGGGTCGGGGAATTCTGTGGATGGTCGCAGTGGCATCCCCTAGCCCACAGTAGTCCAGTCTCTGAAGCAGATATGGTAGGCTCTCCTGAACTCCTGATGATTGCATTCCTGGGCGGGCTTGCCTTCCCATCTGATAGATGCGATCCAGCCCCCGTTCTCACTGCCCAACCAGTCTCCAGAGAATTGGTGAATTGCGTGTGTTATGTCCTGTGCTGAATGAAATGAATCGAGTTGATTTTTTGTGTTTTGCCAATGTGCATGAGTTCTTGTTGAATATATTGCCTTATCATGTCCGTTGCCTCTTCCCCAGTTCTGCGGACACCCTCAATAGCATGTATACAGCGTTTCCTCCAGAGGGTCCGCATGACCGCTCTGAACATGTTATTTTCAAAGGTGTTGTCAGTGGGGGAGGACCATGCCTCGCATAATATGGCCCTCCAATCCCATGGCCAGTTGGACTCAGTGCCCAACAGGGTCCAGATCCTATCCCACCATCGCCATGTAAGGACAGCCCCTGGACACTGCATGAATATGTGCTCTATGGTTTCGGGAATTCTGCGGGAGGGAAAAGCAGCGTGGCATGATTTACACCAGGGTAACGTCTGCGCCCCTTCTGCTCGAGATATGCATGATCTATCAACCAGTCATTGGTGGGCAGGCAGCGGTGTTCTATCTGCCACTGCAGTGAAGCCATCTTCGCTGGCCTAGACCTTGTGGTGGTGAACTATCGAATCGGGCGGATTGCCTCAATCCCTACATTCAAATGAGACCTTCATCGGGCCTTTACTGTTTCTTTTATGTTCACCTTTGGTCGTAGCAGACGGTATGTGGCGTTCACCGTTAGAGTGTGCAATTTAAAATTCTCCCTCGACCTGGGTTTTCCCATAGGGACCCACTGCCATTTGGTTGGTATGTGATCCAAACGTCTTTATCCCGCAGCACGCGTATCCTGTGCAGGTCCGACTTTCTCCACCATCTAATCACTTCTGGGAAGTACCCGGTGAGCTTATTCTCCTTGCCTATGTGGAAGAGGTTAACCAGTGTTTCGTCTGTTCATACCTCCACCACATTGCCCACACTTCCCAGCTCCCCAGGGGCAGCTACCCAGTCCCCTGCTATTAGCTGCGGTCCTGTGCGCCACCTTTGTTCTGCCACCCTTGTTCTGTTGAAGTCCAAAAAGGTGTGACCTTGTCCATGTTGTTCTCCTTAGCATGCTGGAACTTCTGTAGAGAGCTATTCCCCTTTTAAGAATGGATAACCCTGGCATACTTCAGACAACCTCCGCCAACTCCTCTTCTAGTGCGCTTTCTCCGGCCACCAGGAAAATGTTATTCCTTGGCCTTCTATCTGTGCTATCTTGCCTTCTCCCAGCCTGTGCTGTTTGAATTTTTCTCGTAGTTCGTTTGCCTTGTCTTGGCGTAGTTCTTTTGCCTTGTCTTGGTTCTCTTTCATCTTTCTTTGGACCCTATACCACTGTGCTATGATACGCCCCTTCGCCTCCCCATTCTTAAAAGGCCTTGAGTTACCCAAGGGCTGGCTGAAGTGAATCCTCAATCCATGTAAATGAAGCATTTGCTGAGATGTTCTAAGGCAGTGCCTCCGTTGGAGTGTATTCTTACACAGATTATGCTTCTGGTTGTTGAATGTGTTTGCAGCGGACGTGTTTATGGACACCAAGCCTCTGATTCGTTCTGTGCTTGATGGCTTCAATGTCTGCATATTTGCTTATGGACAAACAGGCTCAGGAAAGACGTTTACCATGGTTAGTTGTCCCCAACCTCTCCTCTCCTGTCTCCAACAGCGAGCACCAGCCTACTGGTAGTTTTTGGACGAAGAATGCACAATGGCCGTGAACTGGTTCAACAGCTCTGAGTTGGAACGAAGCTGTTTGACAAAATAAAACCAAGCTTGTGCGGCAAGAATATAGGTTTGTTTTCGTCTTGTGAATGATTTATTGGGCTGTTTTCTGGACTTTTCCACATGGGGGCCATCGCCTAGATGGGCCAGTTACTTATAGACCTGTCCGCAATTCGTTTTTGTGGAGTTGTGTATAGGGAACATGACAACTGCCAGGTGATGCTAGTTTTTCAGACTTGCTGCCATTCTTGTCACGGGTTTGGAGAACTTTGGACCAAATCGCGGGGTTGGTATAAGTGAGGTCTAACTTTCCTCAGGGGTATTGCTCATTCTGCATGGCATGGTGAGTCCTTATCCATCAGTCAAAGCCATCCTGGGCAATTCTGTCGAGATTCAACCTCCTGATCGCTCAGTGAAAGTCGGATGACCAGTCTGGCACAGTCGTACTTTTTGGGGGGCTCCACTGCCTGGCACTGCCTCTCTCGATGCAACTCCAGCAGCCTGACAGATGCCAGCCAGCGAGGCATCCTGGGCAGACTGCTGAGGTTCAACATGTTGATGATTTGGTGAAAGTCTGACAAAACTGCTGAGGTTCGACCTGTTGATGAATTTGGTGGACGTACTGACGAAAAGGATTGCACACTCTGCTTTGTGGTGTTGTATATAGTGAACATGATAATACACAGACTGACAAGCACAAAGTGCCCAGCTATGGATGTTTTGGCACTGCTTGGCGCTGCTTCCCTTGGTGCACTTCAGCAGCCTCACAGCCGACAGTCAGCAAGACTTGAGGCCACTGGAAGCTGTGGTTTGGGTGGCTGGCACTGAGTAAGTATTCAGGCTGGGAGGGTTAGGGCTTCTACGGGCTCCGCTAGGGCCTTTCTATGACTGGCCACTGTGGGCCCTACCTGCCTTCAGTCAATTCATGGGCCTGGTGGCCTCGCACTATGCTGATAATTTCTGTATTTTGTAGACGTATTGCCTTCTATCACCGTCATAGTGCCTTGCATGCTAACAAGGTGGTGGTAGGCTGATAACCAATTGTCAGCGACATTTACACTGAGGGCAGACTCACTCTCACAGCTATTTCGTTTCTGAATATAACTACGGAAATCCAATCATATTGGGGGGGCATGGAAGTCCTATCGTCTTCCCCCGGAGAGAAGGCCCGGTCATCACACCTGCATTCTGTGCAATCCCAGTCTAGATGCAGCGATAATGACCAAGTGTTCTATTCGGGTGAAGGCGGTAGTTTGAGTGTGCTCTACCAGAGCTTTATATGTGCTGTGTTCAATTCTTCTCAACCCAACTGTTTGGTTGCTCTGGTGCAGTCGGGTCCAACAAATGCCAAGGAAGGGGACTGGGGAGTGAACTACAGGGCGCTGAATGACCTTTTCAGTTTGGGTATTGCAAGAGAGGACACCGTACGCTACGAAGTTGCAGTGCAGATGCTTGAGATATACAACGAACAGCTCCGGGACCTGCTGTCGCCCGACTCAAATAAAAAATATCCTTGCAACTTTCTAGTTGTTTTGCATACGTTTTGTCTGCCTATCGGCTGTCAATTCTTACGGGTTGCAGGTGCACTGCAGGTTAGCTCAGAAGTACTGAATTTTGCAATTATTGTTGAAACACTTTTTGGATTCTGATGTTGTTGCCTTGCAATCAAGAACTAACGGATGAAAAGAAAAGGGAAACGCCATCAGTAGCAGTTCTCTTTGATCCACGAATTTCCTATTGGGAACCACGGCGAAGCCAACCCAGCGAACTGCCAAATCTGTGTGGCTAAAGCACATGGATGTGAATACCTACCATCCCGCAAAATGAGAAAAGATTGGAAGTCTTGCCAAAGGCGTAGCTCAAAAAGCGGCCTTGTAATAGAAAGGTTTCTCCTTCTTTTTTTTTTTTTTTCTTTTTTTTTTTAAATTTACACAGGTCCTTATGGCCCTGGCTCCATATCCATTTTGGGGAGCGTCAGTCCGGTTCCTATTCCCCCAGCAAGTCATAAAAACAGTTTGCATCAATGGACACACCCATGCTCCCTTCCGTCTGGCTGAAGTGTCCCTGACCAGCATTGATTACCCCATTGAGATGGAGGATTGACTGTCAGCTTGCCTTTCTCTGAGTTTCCTCTCAGATCCTTCGATCAGAATCTGTCAGGTAGATGAAAAAGCTAGAAACCCAAAGAATCACTGTCTGAGCTGGGCTCAACGGAGCTTATGTTGCCCTGAAGTCCTGTTGCTCTTCCTGGACGGGAGTTGTCCTCCTCTGGGGGATCGACGAATTGTGCCAGTCTTTTCATCTGATTTGTAGATCCTGGATCTCAGCTATCTTCCCCTGGGCAAGCCATACTTTGTTAAAGTTGGCGACCAACTCTTGATGTTTCTCTGGATTTTGCTGAGCTTGGCGTCTGACCTTCTTCCATTGACACCGGATATCGGTCTCCATGAACAGTTTTGTAATCGCCCATACTTGTTCAGTCGGATTGGTCGTCTTGTCAATTGTCCTGTTGCATCTCTCCCTCCAGATGACCCACAGTGTTACCTTCCTGATAATTCCGAACCAGACGCGTTCTGATTTGAGGGCAAGAGATGGGGTGTTAGTCCATAGGAGAAGTTGGATTGGGTATTCGGGTAGGGGAGAGGGAAATAAGTAGTCCCAAAGCGCTGAGGTTCTTGCCCACAGGTCAGTACGAGTGATCAGACAGTGTATTATATCTTCCTGTTCATTGTCTGAGCATACCAGACATGCCTCTGAGCTGCTTGGATCGCTGTTCTTCCTTCGGGCATTCACTGGGAGGGCATTGTAGGTCATCAGCCATTGGAGACTTCTTGTTTTTACTGGGCGAATTGATTTGTACTTCTGCCAGGGGAGTTCCACAATTGGTTCCATTTCTCTGTCTGAGCAATTTGGTCCATCGTTCTATGATTACTGGTTCGGGTCTTTGGTTCTTGGAAACTTTTTGTATCCCATCTTAACTGTGTACTGTGTTATCTGAGTGGATTCTTACAGAATCTGTTAGCCTCTGGGAGCCACAACCATTCTTGTGGGTCGAATTCAAGGTCTTGGATTGTTGTGTCCGTGTGAAATATACTCTTCGGCCAGTTTCCCAATACTCTCACCTTTCTCAGCGTGTAGGAGTTCAGAGTTACTTCTTGTGGGTCAGTATTGTGAATGGCGAGGGATTTCGGGTTGGATCTATCTATGGGGAAGGAGATGAAGACTCTGGCAAAGGTTTCTAACTTGATCCCACCTCCAAAATACAAAGTCGTGCTTTCGTGAATTTGTGGTTTGTGCGTCTGCAGAGGCTGTGTGGGTGTGTTTGCAGAGTGTGTGTGTGTGTGTGTGTGTGTGTGTGTGTGTGTGTGTGTGTGTGTGAGAGAGAGAGAGAGAGAGAGAGAGAGAGAGAGAGAGAGAGAGAGAGAGAGAGAGAGAGAGAGAGAGAGAGAGAGAGAGAGAGAGAGAGAGAGAGAGAGAGAGATGTATCGACAAACAAACATACAGACAGACAGACAGATCGGTGGGGAGGTGAAGAAGGTATGGTATGAGCGAGGATTATCATTTTAGATGTCAATATATGTGTATATACTAGAGAAAGGAAATCAACCATGTTTAAGTCCATAGGGATCTCGTGGGGAATATGTGCGCTTGTGTGTTTGAAATGATCAATACAAGCGTAACTTCCTTGACATAGTGAATTGCACGCTGGAGATTCGTAACAACTCGCAGCAGAATGGATTGAACGTACCAGATGCACAACTGGTGCCTGTCAGAAGCACACAAGATGTTTTGGAGCTGATGAAGATTGGCCTCAAGAACAGGGCTGTTGGGGCAACTGCTCTGAATGAGCGAAGCAGTCGTTCACACAGGTACAGTGTGGCTACGTCTGGTCTCCTGGTGGCCTCTGGTAAACGGAATTTGTTTGTGCGTGCTTGCTCATTACTTCGTTGATATTTTCCATGCAGTTTTTGCCGAGTTCCTCTAGCTAACTGTAGTCCTGATTCCATTCACAGTACTCTGTGCCAAGTAAATATTGAAATTCTAAGTACAATGGTTTAAAGAGCGATTGGAGAGGTGCTGAGGGCAATTAGGGAGGTGCTGAGAGCAACTAGGGAGGTGCGAAATGGGATATGGAAGGTTGTGATGTTATATCAGACAAGCATCAAGGAAGAGTGTATAGAGAAGTCTGCAGCATGTGGTGATTGGGGCTGGGTTGTGTGAGGGGGTCATGGATGGTGTTGCGAATGGTGATTGGGGTGGTTGGGGTGTTGGGCATGTGCCAAGGAGGTAGGATGAGCAATGACTCACAGAGATCTTCTGTTGAGTGAGAAGGGCTTCTGTGTAAAGGTGGTCAACTGTGAAAAGCCAATCGTAAAATTTTAGAGGGTTTAGAGATTACAGTGTGGGAGGTAAGTGGGATATGGAGGGTTGCGTGTCAATGTGGCATAAGTTTCAAGGAAGAGTGTAAAAGGGAGGTGAGCGAGCATTTAGTGAAGCTGGGCGGTTCAAGGGTTGTGGATGGTGGTGGCAAGGGAGGTTGGGGTGTTGTGTGTGTCAATGAGTTAGGAGGGATGATGAGTAGAGGCCGCCAGGGACACTCCTTTTGAGTCAGAGGGGTTGGTGTGTCGAGGTGATGTGAACGGCGATTTGGAACGCTCGATCTGTATCTAGGTACAGTGACAACCTCCCGCCTCTGTTACTGGCAATTGAATGAACACTACTTCCCCCAAATAGAATGTATGCCATTGTATGTTTACATCTGTATTTTGGCCAACTCCCCAGTCTAGGTACAGTGATAAGGACCATACGTTCTGGTTGGGGGAAGACGGTGGTGTGGTCTATTTCTTCTTTGGAGTAGTTAAATTTAGTACTTCAGGTAAATTTCCATTTGGGACGCTGGGCCCGGTTCCCAGCACGTGCTGTTCCCCACGAATAGATTGGAGCCTTGTTACTTCAGTATTTTTACCTGCTGCGTGGATGGCGACTTCTGTTGGGTTCAAATGTCTCAACCATCAGAGAAGAAAGCGCTAGGGAAGGTTCCAGGGCATACTCACACTATGGGTAGGACTTTTTTGACTCAGCTCTAGATGTGATTGTGGTCAGATGCATCGAGATCCGGCCGTCACTGCAGCCGGATACGTTTAGAAAAGTGCTAGTGTGAGTATACCCTCAGAGTGGTTGGCATCAGCACAGTGGGTAGAGCACAGGTGTAAATTGTGCCTTGTGGTGTAAGATTGTGGGGTAAAATCTCTGTGCCCTCAACTTTGTGCGCATCGACACGGGAGGGCATTGACCGATGCATGACGTCGGGATTAGGGGATTCATGGTGCACCCAGCGCGGGGCGTCCTTAGGGTCATCTTCAGCATGCTGTAGTGGAGCTGGGGGAGAGGGGTCTCAGTCAGGGAACTTAGGGTCCTCCCGTGTGGGTTAGGTTGTGCTCTAAGGGGGAGTTAGGGGACCTCCTAGGGGTAGACTTAGGGCCTTCTGTAGGGCCCTTGGGGGGTCCCGGGGAGCCTTCTAACAAAACTGTGGAGGATATCGCCAGAGCTGTGGTGCTACGTACGGGGCTAGTGCTGAGGGTGCCCGCTTTGATAGCAGTAGAAAATAGGAGTGTTGCAGAGTACCATAGGGAGTGTGGTTCTGTAGGAACCCAGAGTGAAAGGCACCTACGGGGGCAGTTGAAAGGCCTCAACTGAGGCAGACAATAGATGTGNGAGTACCATAGGGAGTGTGGTTCTGTAGGAACCCAGAGTGAAAGGCACCTACGGGGGCAGTTGAAAGGCCTCAACTGAGGCAGACAATAGATGTGATTGGTATGACCGTCCTACTGTCTAGGAAGATCTGGTCTATTGGTATGGCCGTCCTACTGCCTAGGAAGATCTGGTCTATAGAGCTCGTGTAGTAATAGGGTGCAATGGCAAAGATATAACCGGGCAGGCCCTTGGGGGGTCCCGGGGAGCCTTCTAACGAAACTGTGGAGGATATCGCCAGAGCTGTGGTGCTATGTACGGGGCTAGTGCTGAGGGTGCCCGCTTTGATAGCAGTAGAAACTAGGAGTGTTACGGAGTACCATAGGGAGTGTGGTTCTGTAGGAACCCAGAGTGAAAGGCACCTACGGGGGCAGTTGAAAGGCCTCAAC